GCATGACAGACATGGCAAGAGGTAAGCCATGGGCAGAGCCTAAATCCTCTTAAGATCCTACTCCTCTGTGTTGACGAAGACTGAATATGGAGAATTCCCAATCAGTCCAGAGGGAGGATTGCACAAGTGTGTGTGTGTGTGTGTGGGTGTGTGTGTGTGTGTTGGGTTTGATTTGTTTTAAACGAGGTTGAGCGTTGGAAGGTTTAGGCTTCTACATCTTTAGGGGATAAAACACCCCCACAAAAAAGAAACAAATACAAGCAACAGTCTTGACAACCCCGTCCCCCTCAGCTTCCACAGCCCCAAATCCTAAACCCACAACCTTAAAATCTGAACTACTATATTTCTATTGCGGAGCCTGTCGCAGGAGGCTGAAGTGTCGTCGGAAGACTCGGAAACGAAACCAGAAGAGCTGCCAGCAGAAGCGCGGAAGGAGCTTGTGTGGAAGATGGTCACATGGCTTCATAATAAGAACCAGGTTCAGTCATAGTAAAGCAACTAGGAAGAGGCATAGCAAGAGTGATAGTAATCGCAGTAAGGGGGTTCAAAAGTGTGGAAGATGGTTACATGTTTTGTAGTTCACCAAATGATGTAGCTGTGGTACTTGGCTTAACCTTTAGTAAGGGTCCTGCATAGGTCCCACATATGACCGATACACACAAAGCGGACAGTATGCTATGCAAGTCATAGGGTTCACATAGGTTTGGGCAAAGTTGATGTATGGGTTTTGTACTAGGTTCATGCGTAGTTGTTCCAAGCAATTAGGATGGTACCTCAACCTGAAATAGGGTTTAAACACACACACACACACACACGCACGCACGCACGCACGCACGCACGCACACACACACACGCACAGACACACACATACACACACACACACACACCCACACACACCCTCAACACATAAGCTTCTTGATATAAACTGCATGGAGTGGTGGGATGCAAGGGATGGTGTACCACTCCAACATCCTTAGCACCAAGGTGTTTTACTCCTACGAACGAGGCTTCACCATTGCAGCGATAGAAGTTGCGACCATCATGCTTCTGGAGGTCTCATATGGCTGGTCTTCTGAGCTCTGTGGGGTGGCCTTCATCGTCATTGCGGGTGGGAGTATTTTCATGACAGTGGTCGCCGCCCTTGCCATTTCCATGAAGCCTTGTAGTTAGAGTAAGAAGTTCTTGGTCTGTTTGTATACGAATTTGAACCCCATAAAGAACCGACCACGTGGAATCTTCACATGAGCTATAGTCAAAACTCCTAAAGACGGGTTATATAGGGATGATGTAGGGAACTATTTTGGGGTTATTCAGGTGGATACTAGGAGTTTAGATTACGTATAACCCTTATAATGCCCTACATAACTCTCTATATATAGCAATTTCCATTTCACTGTCCATGTTCTTTTTCCATTTGATTTTCCATTATTGAGGGGGAACTATACTAATATCATTTCAGTAAGAGCCAAGGAAGTTGATGGATGAATCCCGGGTTTTCCTGACGATGACGTGCTTGGGCTTGTGCGGCTCTGTGCTGCTGCACCTGGGATTTTCTTTGGCAAGAACTGTTGATACGTCAACGTAGCCAGGTCATCCTTCCCTGGGGGTCTTATACGGGTTTAGGCTTTGGGGGTTCAGGGTTAAGGGCTGTAATTGGAGTGAAGCTACCTAGCTCCAGCTGCATTCAGCAAGGTTCAGAGCTTGGGGATGTCTTAAAGATCTTAGCCGGTGTAAGAGCGACAATTGGATCGAACAACTGACTTTGGTAGTGTGCAGTTTCACAGATAACTGTCTGCACGAACAGTACTACTGCTTGCATCTCACCCAGTACCAGCCAACCCTTCCAAGAACAGGGCGCGTATTTGCATACCGCGGCGGGGGACTTGAGGCAAGTCTTTTGTATTGTAATCCCCGGAGCATTCTGTACTTCGTCTCCTGTAGGATTTTAAGTAGCAACCGATTCACAGCCCCTAAGCAGAAACTGAGAACAAATTTCATGTGCTGATTTCCAGTAAGGCCTCTTGATTTGTGTTCTAGAAGGTTGAACTGTTGAACCCCTCAATGTTTAAGCCTCACCTGATCCTGTCGGCCCGTTTTGAAGACAGATAAGAGACGCTTATGGCATGCTAAACGCGCCAATTTCTAAACCCTAAGGTCGGGAAGTATTGGATGTCCAGGTCGGGAAGTATTGGATGTTCAAATCTTGCGGGGCCTGTCATGCGGATTGTCTTGTTTCCTTTTTGCGGCCATGCGAGGGTTGAAGTCCATAGCTTCCAAATCTCAACATAGACTTAGGGAGTCCCTAGTACCTGTTGGAAAGCCATGAGGCTAGCTAAAAAGATCTATTGCGAGGAAGCTCTGTAGCACCATGTTCCCCTGTAACAGCGTCGCTAAGCGTACCCCTTATGTAGCTATCTGAGATTTTCCAACCATGCGCTTCTGTTTTTTCGAACGCCTTGAACCCAAACCCCATAAACCCCTTTGCCAAGGGCATCTCCCTGAACTCTCAGCCCTAAACCGTAAGCCCTTAACCTCCCCAAGCTCTAAACCCCTAGCCCTAAACCCTTAAGCCCGAAACCGTCAACTGTGTGTGTCCCCTCTTCTTGGGAAAGGTTTGACTTCCGCACCTTCGGGTCTGGGAGCTTGCTACTCGCTGATGCCATCATGTACCTGCGGTCTGTTGAGATTTGAGGGGTTTAGGGTCTAGCGGCTTCAAGTTTTAGGGAGCTTATGGGCCGTAAGTCTTGTTTTGCTGTAGGGTGGTTTTGGTTTGAGGGTTTGGCAGGGATTTGCGAGTTTGATTTTAGGGTTTGCTGGTTTTGGGGTGTTCGTGTTTTTGGGGTATTGAAGCCTTAGGGCCTAGAGCTTTCGAGAGGACAGGTTTGGGGTTTCTAGCCTTGAGGGATTCATGGAGCTCTTGCAGTCAGGGGGCATGTGCGGACTGTTGAAACCTTTGGTGGCTAAATTTGATTCATTGTTTAGAGGCTTTAGTTTTTGCGGCACTTAACTATGTGGGTGTGAGTCATTCCACTGCTCCAGCGGGAACCTGATGTTGGAATCGCGCACTGTGCAGCGTTTGCATTTAGGCTCAAATAACACTAGTAAAACTATGAACCACACAGCCTAAATCCTAAACCCTGAACCCTAAATCCCAAACTCTAAATCCCAAGCCCTACATCCTAAACCCTAACCTCATTATCATATTATTATCTGAGCTATAGTCTAAACTCCTAGTATCCCCCTGAATAACCCCTATAGTAGTCCCCTATATAATCCCCTATATACCCCCCTTTTAGGGAGTTTAGACTATAGCTCATATGTCATTGAGGCTGTCAGGCCAGACCCGAAGGCTGAACATGGGAAATGGGATGGTTTTCTCTACTTTTGCTTGCTGGCTCTTAGTAGGAAATAAGGGGATATGATCCCTATGTAATCCCTGTATAGGGAATATTATATATACATATATGGATTATGTAGGATTTAGGGTTTAGCGTTAGTAGGGAGTAAGGGAATGTACTATGTAATCTCTATATAATATATTCCCTTATCCCCTACTAAGAACCCGTGAGCTTGCTTTCCCTCAGTTCTGAGCATTGAGGGGCACTTATCTCCCAACCTTCTGGCTTCTACATGCCCTAAACCCTAAGTTCTAGGAGTCCCTAAACCCTAAACCCTAAACCATTTTCTAAACCGTAAGTTCTAGGAATCTCGAGTACAGGTATGGCGGAGCCACAGTGGCTAATGGTGTTGCTGAAGGCCGGGCAAAAACATAAGAGCGATGGAATGGCACAGCTTGGGGGCTCAGAGTTTACCTAGGTCCTCCAATGTAATTGCTTTTTGGGTTTGGTTTAGGGTTCAGGGTTTGGCATGGCTTTTAGGTTAAGACTCTTATTTAGGACAACCCAAAAGGTACTACATTGGAGGGTCTAGGTAGGCTTGATAGCGTGCATGGATTCGGGCATCGCATTCTTGGGCGGTGGTACAGCATTGGAAGTGTGAATTGGGAGCTTACATAACCAGAGGGGAGACTCCTGATGGACCCAAGCCTATTCTAAACCTCATTATACAATCTCATAAATAATGAGCACTAATTAGTTCTTGGAGGCCTCCAGCTTTAGGCTGAAAACGGCTTTCTCAGCAAGATATGGGCTCTCCTGCACATTTTCCAAAATCATCACCTATTGCTGAAGACGACACAACTACCAACATTATTGTCCTACATTCTCTTTTTAAATTCAGTGATTCGGGAGTCTCTCAAAACAAGGGATACTCTAGGGACCCTGTCGATACAAAGGGGTTCTGGGGAGATTGCACAGAGGTTCCCGGCGCAGGGGCTGTATGGGGGACCAGCTTGAGGTATTTCAATTTCACCATGAATGGAGTCATGTTTCCCCAAACCCTAAACCCTAACCATGTCAAACCGTAAACCCTGGACCCTAACCATTTCAAGAACAGGCTGGGCGAGCCGCGCAGCCACCATGGGAACAAGCTATAGCATCGCTACCTGGCGCTGATTTAGGGTTTAGGGCTTAGCGGTTTAGGGCTTAGGGCCAGTAAGCCTTCCTTCCCCCAAGGCTTCATGTAGGTTTTTTCGGGCCCAATGTAGACATTATTTATAGACTTAGAGCCCCAGGGTTCATGAAGGTTGCTTTTCAGGGTTTGCTCATCTTCGTTTTTAGGCGCTAGGATCATGGTTTAGGGTTTAGAGTTTGGATGGCACCTCCCATCGGCTGAGCTTGGGTGAAACCCCCACGCAGACTGTAGCCCACAGAAGGCTCTTTTGGGGTCCCGTGTTAGTTTGGGGAGGGCATGCAGCTGAAGTTCTAGCAGCTATGTGTTGGCAAAGTCTCCGAATCTAGTTATGGTAAACCCAAACCCTAAACCCTAAACCCTGAATAGCACTACTAGGCCCAACTCACCGTGAAAGGGTTACAAGCCTTGCATTCATAACCAAAGTCTAGGGCTTCTTCAGGGGAAGGGGAGGGCAGAAGGGGGGATCTTTTAGGGATATGTCAGGGGTACACGAGGCTTGCTCTATATTATAAGTATAGATATATAGACATACATATATACATTTGCGTGTGGAGATATCGAGGGAAGTCAATGCATATACACATTAATATTCATATATGTACGCGAGGCAGTATCCTCTGTGATTGTCCTGGAAGCACTTGCTGAGTTTTCGTGGGATGCTACAGCTTCAACTGCACTAAGGTAGTATGACCCAAGATACGAGATCCATGGCTCCGGTACTTAGAGGTGCATTGGTAGCAGTGAGCAGGTCAGGCGTAGGATAATGACAGCTGAAATTATAACCGTGTTCGAAATGCATATGACCCAAAACCTTCTTTATGTCTGCCCATGGGCCCCTCTAGAAATAGTAGTAATAGTAAGAACAAGAACAGTAATAGTAATGGAGTAATGGAAATAGTAATAGTAATAACAACAGCAGTCGTTAGCAATGAATCGAGCACTTCAGGGGATGTACCGGGCGCACAGCATGACGGGTGTGAACGCCAGCCGCTTCTTAGCTCCCATCCTCACACGCTTCATCTTGGACTTTGGGGGAAGGCCTGCAGGGTTAAGGGCTTAGTCTAAGGAAGTTTCAGGTGGGTAGTTTACCTCATATAAGAATTATACATGCCGTATGTAAGGGTACCCACCTGAAAACTCCCCTAACTTAGGGTTTAGGGCTTTGAGGGAAGGCCTGCAGGGGCTTGAGGTGTAGCTGGCTTGCTGCTAAGGAGCTTGAATTAAGTTACCATGGTATGGGTACATAGCAAGTAATGGGGTTGACTTGTTATAGTAAGTTGATGTAAGTTCCTTAACAGCCAGAAATTGCCAATATCCTGTTGAGGCACCCCCAAAGTACAACCATACAAGAAACCTAGGACCACAACACGGTTAATTGACTAGGCCCGGCGAGTAGGGGAAGCAAGCTATTTCCAGTGGTCCCTTTGTACGTGTGGTAAAGAGTGCAACACATGGTTGTTCCTCTGGCTTCTCAATGCACTTGCAACTCAGACAGACCACTCCAATGCTTCAGCAGCCTTAGGAGGCCGTTGCGTGAGGGGTAGTAGCATGTTCCCTTAAAAACTTAAACCTAAACCCCATTATAGTGGTTTCCATTTTCTTTTCCATTATCCCTATATTG